GGGGGCTGGGGTCGTGGATCAGTGGCAGAGCGCTTGCCTAGCATGTGTGAGGCACTGGGTTCGAATCTCAGCACCACATATCAATAAAAAAAATAAACGTCCATTGACAACTAAAAAAATACTAAACAAACAAAAAGAACCGGGGTGGGGGGTACGTGCACGAGCTGGGGTCATGCCACAGGGAAGCCTTTCTAAGAATTGTCCGCACTGGGGTGGACTTTCTGGCCGCCCTTCAGAGGAGGGACAGACTCACCTCCAGCACTGGGGGGCTGCTGCTCCCCAGGTGGCCTATCTGCTCCAGAGTTGAGATCTCTAGGTCACTTGTCACTTTGGTCTTTGGCCACTGGGTGGAGGTGGAGGTGCAGGCAGGGCAAGGTGGCTGGGCCGGGCTCTGGGGCCGCTGCCCGGGGATATGTCCATTCACTCGAGTGGCCTCCATCCAGTCTTTGGGTTGGCTGTGTCGCTCTGGCTCTGGGGCATCTTTTGTGCCCGGGGGGACCAGCTCTGGTCCTGAAGTCCTGGCAGGGTCACCCCCGTGTCTGGCTGGGTCCTTGTGGGGCAGCCGGGCCTGCAAGAGCTCCAGGAGACCTTCCCAGTCCAGCCTTGGGAGTCGGGCCCAGGCCCCCTCCCCAGGTGCCCGGAGGAGGCCCAGCAAGTCCCTCCAGTCGAGGTCAGGCGGCTTCTCGGGGCCGGGAAGGTGTGGGCATGCTCCCTCTCCCCTCCAGCCCAGGGCAGTGGGTGTCCCTGGCTGCGGAGGGTGTGAGAAGTCTTCGGGGCCTGCCCAGGAACTCTCTGGGGGAGTCACAGGCTGCTGGGGACTGGACAGCTCCTGCAGGCTGCCCCAGCCCCCCTGGGCCGGCTCCTGGAGGGGGTCCTGAAGCCCATTACTGGGGGGCTCCTCCTTCCAGGCCTCTGACTGCCCCCAGCCGTCCCTGTACTCCCTGGGAAGGTCCCTCCATGTTCCCTCCAGGCTTCTGGCAGCCCCCGGGCTGGGCTCCCCAAGTCCTGGCCAGCCCTCAGGCCCCGGGCCTTTCTCGTGGTGGCTCCAACTTCTTTCCGAGTGTCTGTGAGAGCCCTGGGGCCCCGTAAGCTCCTCCTGACTCTGCCACCCCCTCAGCGGCTGCTGGGAGGCGGCTCGGCTTCCTTTAGCAGGTCTCTCAGTGCGCGGCTCCCTCTCAGGGGGTCCGGCTGGTGTCCTGGAGGGCGGTGAGGGGGCCTGGAGTCGCCTCTCAAGACTCCTGGACCCAGGGGCCTCTGCTCTGCTCCGACGGGCGGCTGGCTCTGGCTGCTTGGCAGGGAGCTTGGTCACCTGAGGAACAGGTAGGAGGCGGGTGAGGCTCCCGGCCCGGGACAGTGGGCTGCGTCCTCACAGTGGCTTGGATGGAGCAGACTGAAGGAGCCAAGGCCTCTGGGCTTCTTCCCCTCCAGGGGGTCTCTCTGCCCTCCCACCGTGTCCCCAGTTCCAGAGGGAGGCGTGCAGAAGCTGCTCGCTCCCCGGCTCCCCCTTCCCCGAGACACCGATTCCACCCTGGGCTATGGGGTGCCGAATTCCCACCACCGATCCCCAGTTCCTCTGGGGTGGGCTTCTTGGGAAACACAATCCCCACCCTGGAGAGGCGCCCTGGAGCTGGCGGTGCCGCCCAGCCTTCTCCAAACAGCAGGGAGCTAATGCAGAAAGGGCCAGCACCCAGGGCTGTTTGCAGAGGCTAATTTGGGTCCTTTACATTTTACTGAGAGCTTCTGGCCCCTGAGGAGGGAGGAGCCTGGACACCTGGGACCTGACTGGGACCTGACCTTTCACAGAGGACTGCCCTGCCCAGGACCCTGCCTTGCAGGAGTGGGAGGAGGAGGCGTGACTCCCCTGGGACTCCGCGGTGGCAGTGCTCACCTGCCTGCTGGGGATGGGGCTGGAATGTCTTCGGTGAAGCTGGCTTGGACCTTGGCTGGGCCGCTGCGACCATCCCTCATCCCGAGCCTGGAAGGGCCCTGGTGCCTCGGACTTCCTAGGAGCGAATGCAGTTGCTCCTGAGGCCTGCGGGACCGCTCCACCCTCAGTGCCCCAGCCCTCCCCTCCCACCCAGCGGGAGGAGATGGGGGGTCCAGAGACCCACGACAGCCCTAAATGAGGGTTGACCTTCTCGGGCCTCAGTCTCCCCCTGAGAAATGGGGCTGGGCAGTGCCACCCTACTCTGCCAGGAGAGAAGCAGGGTCAGGCCTGGGCCACATCTCTCCTGTCTCGTGCTGCCCAACAGTCCACCAGCCACTCTAACAAAGGTAGACTGGCCCTTGTGGGAATTCAGGTTTACTGAGCACCTATTGTGTACCAGGCACTGTGCACACAATGTTTAAGCAAACAGTTCTTGAGCATTGAAAAGTAAGAACATCAAGCAGGCCCTGGGCACATCTGTCCCCTCCCTTAGTAAGGAGGTCACCTCCGTAGACCCAGCCACTCCATGAATATTTTCATGGGGTTTGAGAGTCTGACTTCATTTAAATTGGCAAGCAGAGAGGGAGTGGGTGGGGACGGGGTGGCTCAGTGGCAAAGCATGTATTTAGCATGTTTGAGGCCCTGGGTTCCCTCCCCAGCATCTCAAAAATAAACAATGAAAATAAATTGATGATTGGAGTCCTGTCTCTGGAGAGTGAGCTGAACTGGGAGAGGCCTGAAGAGGATGAGCCTAGAGTGAAAAGGGAGGGCAGAGGAGGCGCTCCCGCCCGCAGCCTGCTGAAGAAGCCTGGGAGCCAGCGCGGCAGGGGGTTTGCAGAGTCTAAAAAAGTGCAGTCGGGGTTTGCTGGTCTCGTGGCTTTTGCCAGTGTCATCAGAACCAGATCCACGGAGCAATTTGGGTTTGAATACACGCGCCCTCCCACCGAGCTGTGCCCAGGCTGGGGTGTGAGTTTTCTGCAGTTCTTAGCAGCTCACACCAGAAGAGCCCAGGGCCCCTGGAGAGCGTGTAAGCTGGGCGCGCCCCATCAGGTTCACTTTTTAATCTAATTGGAGGTGCACGGCTTTCCTTCCTCCTTGAGAGCCATAAAGGGGAGTTTCTTCTACAACTGAGGTCTGGTGGCTCCGGGAAGCAAAGCCCCAGGCGTGACTGGTGGATGGTCTCCCTCCTGGGAGGGAGGGGAGCCGGAGAGGAAGTGCCACACCAGGGAGCAGGGCAGAGCTGCCTTCTCTCCCCCGTGTGCATTTCCCAAACTTCACTTGCTACATGGGCACTCCTTCCGGGAATTCTCTCTTCCCCGTGAGACACTGAGAAGGACCCAGGGATTCTAGAACACTCTGAGGCCCCTACAGAGACCCAGCTTTCCTTATCAGAGGGGCCCCTGTTCCTGAGGGCTGGTGGGGCCAGAAGGAGGAGGACTAAAAAGTTTCCTTTGGAAGCATAAATGGGGGCTGGGGATGTGGCTCAAGCGGTCGCGCTCGCCTGGCATGCGTGCCGGCCCAGGTTCGATCCTCAGCACCACATACCAACAAAGATGTTATGTCTGCCGAGAACTAAAAAATAAATATTAAAAAAATTCTCTCTCTCTCTCTCTCTCTCTCTCTCTCTCTCTCTCTCTCTCTCTCTCTCTCTCTCTCTCTCCCTCTCCTCTCTCTTAAAAAAAAATTTAAAAAAAAAAAAAAAGGAAGCATAAATTGGCTCATCGACTTCTAAGTCATCGAGTCTAGCACAGGAAGAAAGGCTCTGTTTTAAATTCAGGTGACAGGGCTGGGGATGTGGCTCAAGCGGTAGCGCGCTCGCCTGGCATGCAGTGCGGCCCGGGTTCGATCCTCAGCACCACATACCAACAAAGATGTTGTGTCCGCCGAGAACTAAAAAATAAATATTAAAAATTCTCTCTTTAAAAAAAAAAATAAATAAATAAATAAATTCAGGTGACAGCAAAACGCATACATGGTACTAAAATAAAAGATTCCAAAGGTATCTAAAGAAAAAAAGGTCAAGACATCAAACTAAAACTCCTGATGCTTTGATGTGATAGCCCTTCCAGAAAAAAACGTTCCAGGGTCAGAACAATGCTTAGACAGAGTAGATGCTCAATAAATACGGCAGGATGGATGAATGGGAGACAATAAAAGTACTACTCTACCGCCACCCACCCACTCATCACTTCCAGTCTGTCCCTTACACAAATGCATAGTCTAAAAATTTGTCTTCAGGGGCTGGGGCTGAAGCTCAGTGGCAAAGTGCTTGCCTAACGTGTGTGAGGCACTAGGTTTGAGCCTTAGCACCAATAAAATAAAGCAATTCTATCCATCTACAACTACAAAAATTTTTTTAAAAATTTGTCTTCAGAAGACAATTGGCATTCCCTGTGGAAAAGTGCCACACAAGGGGACATTTTACCCAGAAGAGTTATAAAACTTTGACCAAAAGGTAAATAATCTACTTTGAAGAGGAGCAGAATAAAATATGTAAGATTGTACAAGAATAACTAAACTGCTAATAAAAGGGCAAACAAATCCCTGATTTCTGTTATAAACCCCTTTCTCTCTCCAAAAGTCATCCCGGGGGGAACAAATTAGAAAGTTAACTTGGTTTAAAGATTTCAGAGTCTCTGGGCGATGGATGTGGCTCAGTGGTAAAGCACTCGTCTTACAAGTGTGAGGCCCTGGGTTTGATCCTCAGGACCAAATAAATAAAAAATAAAGGCATTGTGTCCACCTACAACTAAAAAAATAGAAATAAAAATATTTCAGTGTCTCTCTGTTGAATCTTCAATAAAACAAAGAAATACAAATTGGCATCAGTTGGGCACAGTGGCGCATGTCTGTAATCCCAGCGAATTGGGAGACTGAGGCAGGAGGATTGCAGGTTCAAGACCAGCCTCGGCAAATTAGTGAGGCCCTAAGCAACTTATCAAGACCCTGCTTCAAAATTAAAAATTTAAAAGAGGTGAGGAGGTGGTAAAGTGCCCCTGGGTTCAGTTACAGTAACAAAAATAAATAAATAAACAAACAAACAAATAAATAAATAAATGCCAAAGAAGGAATGACACCAATGCTGGAGTCCCCAAAGGTTGTCACTTGGATATCAAATGGATCAAGTGTACTGGAAAAGGAAATTTGAAGAATAAGAGATAAGGTTTCTCGTGCAGGTTTAGATCTCAGAGAAATGTCTCAGGGACAGCAAAGAGGAATTTTAAGCACCAAATATTACCTAAATAATAGGTATTTAGGGGTGGGAGTGTGGCTCAGTGGTAGATCGCTGGCCTAGCATGGGCGGGACCCGGGTTGGATCCTCAGCACCACATAAAAATAAAGGCATTGTGTTGTGTCCATTAAAAAAAATAGGTATTTAGGGAGTGGGATATGTTTTAAACTAGGCTGTGGTAATGGCCCCACAACTTGGTAAATATGCTAAACTTCACTGGAAGCTCTGAGGCTCCAGACCTGCTTTCCTCCCCCTAATCCCCTTGACCTCAACTAGCGGAATTCTAGCTCTGGGCCTTGAAAACTCCGCAGCCAGCACTGCTGGGAAAGAAATCTCAGCCACCTAATGAGGGGGACAGTTCCCCTTCTGGCACCAGTTGAAAGTTGAAAGTTAACTTGGTTTAAAGATTTCAGAGTCTCTGGGCTATGGCTGACCAAGGAGGTTCACACCTGGACTCCAGGCTTTAGCATCATGTCTCAGGAAAATCATATGTAACCTCTGACCCTGACCCTAACTCTGACCCTAACCCTGCCAGTCTGTGAGCTCACTTATTTAAAACACGGGGCTTCTGGTTGGGGGTGTGGCCCCAGGTTGCAACCCCAACACTGCCAAATAAATAAGATAAAAATACATGGCTCTGGCTGTACATTTGAAATGAACATCTCTGTTTTTGGAATTGCAAAAGGGCCTGTGATTTTTCTTTGCTCTGTCAGAAAAGAATCATGTTCTTCCCCATGCAAGAGAGATAAATAAATAAATAAATAAAACATCCCTGACTATGGATCAAACAAAAGTTCCGAGAATTTAATTTCATTAAATAAATGTGCTATTGCTCTCCCTCCTTTGACAGATGAGGAAACTGAGGCTCACATGGGTGAACTCATGTTACAGGTCACACAGGATGTGAGTGGCTTGGACCCTGGATTTGAACCTAGCCTGCCTGACTCTAGTCTACATGCAAAAACAGAGATAAAGTGCCTTGCCCAAGGTCACTCAGCCAGTGGACAGCAAAGCAGAAGGATTGGGCCCCTTGCTTCTGGCAACATAACCCTGAGTCCACCTGCCCTGCCCTCCGCCTCCCGCAGGCCCCCTGGACGCCACTGCCCACCCAGGGCTCACCTGCGCTCCTGCCCGAAGAGGCGCTCCACCTCTGCGCGGCCAGGGCTGCGGGTGCGGCCCCCGTCGCTGCCCTGTACCTGGGGTCCTGGCTCCCTCTGGGCCAGCCTCCTGGGCGGGGGCAGGTCAGCCAGCACGGTGTACTCCTCCCTTTCCAAATTGTGCCTGATTTCCCAGGGGGCTGCCGAGCCTCGGGAGCCCCCTGAGCTGCCAGGGGGAGGTGAAGGCGCTAGGAGCGCCAGGTCGCTGGGCGGGTGTCGGGGAGGGGAGGACGCTCGGGGTGCATCTCGGTGGCCAATGCACACTTGTGGGGGCAGCAGGGGGGAGCCGCGCAGGGAGTCGGTGGAGGGGGCCAGACTCTCCATACTAGCCCCCGGGGGGTCCTGGAAGCACAGGGAGGGCTCGGGGGCCTGGCGCGGCGGCGAGGAGAAGGAGGGGGCATCCCGATGCCCGATGCACACGGGGGCGGGCCTGTGCGGGGGCTCGGGCAGAGAGTCCGTGGAAGGGACGAGGCTCTCGGTGCTGGCCCTGGGGTAATCCTGGAGCAGGAAGGAGGGCTCCGGGAAGTGGCGCGGCGGGGAGGAGGCCCGAGGCGCATCCCGGTGCCCAATGCACACGGGTGGGGGCAACTGAGGAGGGTCGTGGTGCGGGGGCTCGTTCTCGTTTTCGGTATCTGATGTGTCTGGGAGGAAGGGGAAGGGGTCGTACTGGGCGTGGCGAGGGGGCGAGGATGCCCAGGGGGCATCGCGGTGGCCAATGCACACAGCCGGTGGCAGGTGGGGCGGGTCATGGTGGGGCAACTCGATCTCAGAGGCTTGGGGGTCTGGGAAGAAGGGGAAGGGGTCATGCTGCAAATAGCGGGGCGGTGAAGAGGCTCGAGGGGCATCGCGGTGTCCTATGCACACGGCACACGTTGGCTGGAAGGGCCCGGAAGAGAACTGGGGTGCCCCACGGGCCCCAGGGTACAGAGGCGAGGACATGCGCCAGGCACTGAGGTGGCCAGGATTGTGGGTAGAAGAGGTGGCCCCTGAGGGCAAGGTGTGCTGGGAGGGGCCAGCAGAAGTCTGGGGTGGGTCCCGCTGGGCTGGTCTGGAGGGAGAGGAGGTCTGAGGCCTGTCACCTTGGGTTGGCCGGAGGGACACGGATGCCCAGGGCACCTCACTTGGCTTGGAGCGGGATGGAGAAGAGGATCGGGGGCCGTCACTCTGAGTTGGCCGGAGTGGGAAGGAAGCCCAGGGGATGTCTCTGTTGGTGCGGTGGGGAGAAGGATTCCTGGGGCTGTTTCTTTGGGTGGAGCGGCAGGGAGATGGTGGTCCAGGGTTGTCCTTTGGGATACTGGTCTGAAAGCCGGGAGTCCCAGGGCCGTCCCGCTGAACGAAGGAGGAATGTGGGGAGTCCCGCTGGGTGCAGGTGCTCCTGAGGTGCTCCCACCTGGTACAGGAGGCTTTAGGGTTGGCTTGTTGGGCAGGAGAGGTTCTGGGGGCGATTTGTTGGACAGAGGAGGTTCTGGGGGTGTCCCTCTGGGTAGTTCTGCTGGGGGAGGAGGTTCTGGGGTTGTCCCATTGGGCACAGAAGGTTCTAGAGCTTTCCTTCTGGGTGGTTCTGTTGGGAGAAGAAGCTCTGGGATTGTCCCGTTGGGCACAGGAAGTTCTGGAGTTGTCCCTCTGGGTGGCTTTGTTGGGAGAAGTTCTGGGGTTGTCCCGCTGAGCACAGGAGGCTCTGGGGTTGTCCCGCTGGGTGGTTCTGTTGGGGGAGGATGCTCTGGGGGTGTCCCTCTGGGTGG